GTCTTCCGGGTGCGCTTTAAGGTGTTAGTTACCACCTTTAAAGCGCTCCATGGCATCGGTCCTGGCTACCTCCGAGACCGCCTTCTGCCACAGATTCCCTCCCATAGACCGGTACGCTCCCACAGAGCGGGCCTCCTCAGGGTGCCGTCGGCCAAGCAATGTAGGCTGGCGACCCCCAGGGGGAGGGCCTTCTCTGTGGTTGCCCCCACCCTCTGGAACGAACTACCCCCCGAGATCCAGATGATTCCGGATCTCCTTACTTTCCGCCGCGCCCTCAAGACATGGCTTTTCCAGCAAGCGGGCCTGACCTAGGGAGGATTTTAGGTAGGGATGATTTTAAAAGTAATTTTAATCGGAAACACAGCTGGCAATATTTGGTTTTTAATTCGGCTTTTATTGGGGTGTATATTTTTGTATTTCTGTATCTTTGTATTTTGTGTATAGTATTTGTTTTTTAATATGCTGTGAACCGCCCTGAGTCCTATGGGAGAAGGGCGGTATACAAATTAAATTAACATAACATAACATAACAAATTGCACTCAGAGGCGCCGGCAGCCGCAACCTCCGTGGTGTGATGGGGCCACACCAAGCCTGGCCAGGGAGCACAAGCAGGATGGGTGCTGCGCTCTGGAGCAGCCAAAATTTCAGGGTAGACTTCAAGGGCAACATCCCCCCCCATAAAGTGAACTGCAGTAGTCTAATCAGGACACAACTTACAAGAACTAACGGGTGGAAGCTTGTTGAAGAGAGCTCCAACTTGGAAGAAAGAAGAAATTTCCTGACACGGAGAACAATTAATCAACGGAAAAGCCTTTTGAAGGAGAAACTGGACAGCCATTGGCTGGATGGTATATAAGGTCTTCTGCCTTGAGCAGGGGGTTGGACTAGAAGACCTCTGAGGTCCCTCTTCCAGCCCTAGCATTCTGTGGCTGTTCTGTTCCAGGGAAGGCCAAAATGTGTCGTAAGCGGAAACCACAGAGATTACACAATTTTGGGATAAAACATTGGACTTGAACAGTCGCTCCCATCCTGGTGGGGCTGAGTCTGATCCTGTTTCAATATTCCAATTTTATCTCGACCCTTAAGTCCATTTATAACTTTGCAAAATGAAAATATTTAGCTTTATGCTGTTTACTTCAGAGCCTTTAAATTCTCAAGCTTACGATTAATACTTTCTTGATTAATACTTTCTTACGTTCAGAATGAATTGGTTTCATTTATACGACCACCCAATTCACACATAGCTGGCAATTTACAGTATTTAAAACACCCACATAAACAACCCATAACCCCACCCGAAGCACACAGGGCAGCAACAACAACACAATCCGATCAACCTCTTGGTCAGCTTCACTTTGGAAGCCTCTGCCGTCAATGGCTGACGGGGGCGTCTCCGAGGGCTCAAGCCAGGGTCCCACGGTCTCCTTGGAAGGGAACAACCGCCCGGAGCAGACACGGGGGTGTCTCCCATCCTCCCCTAATCCAGAGAGGTTTCCCCTGGACGGCCTCCGCTCCCTGCAAAACCTTCCTCGGAAGTCCAGAGGTGCTGAGTTTCTGCCAGCCGTGAACTCTTCTTGAGCCACACCTGACTAATGCCACAAGGTGCTTTCGAGACAGGCACCGTTGTGAACTCGGCAATGGAGTCAAGCAGCTCTCGGAGGGGGTGCAGGTGTCACTGTGCCCCCAGGGAGGCTGGCATCCGGTAAACAGGC